AACAAAACCCCCCCCAAAAAAAAAAAAAGTGTTCCCTGTTAGGCCAGCCCCATGGCCTGATGGTTAAAGGAGCCAGACCCCACACAGGCAAGCACATGGTTGAATTCTTAGACATGGCTGCGCGTGGGTGTGTGCATGCCCCAAATCCCAAGAAGGATGGAGAAATGGAGAAGGGACGGCAGCACGACCGTGACCCATTGGATGGGGAGGTTTCTCTCTGTCCCTCTCAGGCAAGCACACATACCCTCTGGCAAAACTGAAAAAATTAAAAATAAATAACAAATGCTTCCTCTTGCTCTGCTCCAGCTGGGTGTGTGGTGGTTAAGGCAGCTGGATCCCACATGGCCGCGTCCTGGACCTGGTAGCTTGAAAAACACACCAGGCGGTGGGTCCAGAAGATAGCGCGATGGTTGCATTGCTGGATGCTCACGTAGTTGACCATGGCTCAAATCCCAGACCTGGCGGTTTAAAACACACCGGGCTCATGTGCATGTGTGCCCGAAATCCCAAGCGGAAAATGTAGAAGGGATTGCAGCATGGCCATCCCCTCAAGGAATGATTTCTCGCTCTCTGTCTCTCTGTGTCTCCCTGGCAAGTGCACGTGTTCTATAGCAAGAATCTAAAAAACAAACAAACAAAAAAAAACCAAACAAAAAAGGCAAAATACCAGGCATGTGTGAATGCATGCCCCAAATTCTGAGCGCAGAGTGGAGGACACAATACCAGGCATGTGTGAATGCATGCCCCAAACTCTGAGAGCAGAGGGGAGGCCACAGGGTTGCAGCATGGCCATGCCCCTGGGGGGTGCTTCATCACTTTACCTCTGTCTCTGCTACTGAGCACGAATTAGAAAAAGAAAAAATAAAAAAAAAAGCGCTACCTCTCCATGCATAATCACATCAGCAGAAGAAACACGAAGAATTTAAGAAATGAAACTGTGGACCAGTCCCCGTGAGCTGGACCCCACACGTCTGAGCATGGAGTTTGAGTCTCAGACCCTAAAAGTCACACTCTGGGCATGTGTGCGTGCATGCTCAAAATCCCAATAGGAAGAAGAAACGGAGGGGAAGAGGTTGGGGAATGACGATTCCCCATCGAGGGGTGTTTTCTTATTTCTTTCTGTCTCTCTCAGACAAGTATACACACCCTCTGGTAAATTTTTAAAAAGTAAAAAAAAAAAAAAAACAGTTACATCATTGCCTCTCCCTTTGTCCACTGCAGAGATTGGCAAATCCTTCCAGTGGTAACACTTCACACCACGCTGGGGTGTCAAGTTCCAGCACTGTATCACACAACCCAGAAGTCTTTTTTTCCTTTCCTTTTTTTATTTTTTAAAGGTTTTTATCATAGGGCTCATGCACTTGCCAGAGTGAGAAAGGGAGAGAGAAAGTGAGAAATCACCCCCCGGAGGATGGCCATGCCACTGTCCCTTCTCCTCCATTCTCCTCTCAGGATTTTGGGCACGCACACACATGCGCCCGGCATGATTTTCAAGCCACCAGGTCCGGGACTTGAACTGTTGTCAGCCACGTGGGAGTCCAGTGCCTTGACCTCCTGGTCCCTAGAAGTCTTTCTTTCTTTGAGGGGTAGCCTAAAGTTTTGACGGAGACCACAGCAAATCTTAGTTCGACATTTTATGTTGGGATTTGTTATCTTGGGGGTTCAGTGAAGTGTGAAATGGCAAGTGGGGTGTTTTGTTTTCGTTTTTGTATTTGTTTTTAGAGAGAGATTTTTGATATGGAACGTGTGTACTCACTGAAGAAACAGACCACAAAAGAAAAAAACCTCTCCAAAAAAAGAAAAAGAAAAAGAGAGAGAGAGAGAAGGAAGGTTACCAGATAATCAGAACCAGCATGATTTTGAAAAACCGGATCTTGATCACGGCGCCCATCCGTCTCTCGTTCTCCGTGTAGATGCCTTGTCTTCCTTTCAGTAAAGAGGCCACTGTGAGGAACAGAGCGGAACGCCACCTTGGCTTCGTTGCTGATGTTGACAGGGGAGCAGAGAAGGGAGTCGGGCAGGCGGGAGCCCACGGTGAAGCCAGTGCCTGGCATTCCTCGCACCTTCCCAGTGACAGCCCTCATAGACTCCTGTGCATTTCTGTTTTTAAAACTTTTACTGGGACCAGCAGTTAGCGTCATGGCTATGTCGCTGGACTCCCACGTAGTCGACCGCGGTTCGAGTCCCAGACCCGGTGGCTTAAACTCACGCCGGGTGTATGTGCGTGCGTGCCCAAGATCCTGAGAGGAGAATGGAGGAGACGGGATTGCGGCGTGGCCATCCCCCCTGGGGGGTGATTTCTCGCTTTCTGTCTCTATGTCTCTCTCTGTCTTCCTGGCAAGCGCACGTGCCCTATAGCAAAAACCTCTGAAAAAATTTTTAAAAACTTTGAGATCGTGTTAAACTTGCAAAGAGAGCACAGGGCATCTTGTGCACGCGACCCAACGTCCGTCAAGGTTCATCTGTCACACAACATGACTATAAACTAAACCCTTCATTTTATTTCTATTTCCCTCATTTGGTAACTGTGTTTTTGTTTCTTTTGAAAGATTTATTTATGTATGTATTCATTCATTCATTTTAATTTGACCAGAGAGAGACAGAGAGAGAAAGAGAGAGCAAAGTGAGAAAGCAAGCCACCAGGTCCAGGCCTTGAACCGTGGTCGGCCACGTGGGAGAGTCCAGCACCTTGACCACCACGCCACCTGCTGGTCCCCAATTTTTATTTTTACTTTTTACATTTTTTAGTTTATTTCTTTTGGGCCAGCATGTCCTGAAGCAGTTAAGGTGCTAGACTCGTGAGACAAGCAGATGAGAATAATGGTTATATCGCTGGACTCCCACGTAGCCAACTGCGGTGTGAGTCCCGGACACGTGTGCGTGCGTACCCAAGATCTTGAGAGGAGAATGAAGGAGAAAGGATTACAACGAGGAAAATCACCCTGGGGCGGGGGGTGATTTCTCACTTTCTGTCTCTCTGTCTCTTCAGTGAGTGCATGGGCCCTATAGCAAAAATATCTTTAAAAAAAAAAGTTTATTGGGGTCAGCAGGTAGTGTGGTGGATAAGGGCGCTGGATTCCCACATGGCCAACCATGGTTCAAGTCCTGGACCTGGCTCTCTCTCTCTCTCTCTCTCTCTCGTCAAATAAAAAAATAAATAAATAACAATAACAAATGGAAATAAATAAATAATTCTTTTTAAAAGTTATTTAAAAAAAAAGTTTATTTATTCCTTCCATGAGCAAGAGAAGGGGAGAAAGAGATAGAGAGACAAAGAGATAGAGAGACAGGGTCCTGATGCTGCAATTCACCCCCAGCCCCAGCCTGCCCTGGACCATGGGCATGCACATGCCCAGTGTGAACAAGGAGGTCTCTGGACGTGAACTGGGAACCTTACTATGAAGTTTAATCACTACACCATCCTCCTGCCCCCAGGAACTTTATTTTTAAAAAATTTTTTTCTCTACTAAAAAAAAAAAAAAAAACAATGACACTTGTTCAAAGAATTGAAAAAAATGGGGGCCAGCCAGTGGTGTAGAGGTTGAGGCACAGGCTCCCACATGGCCGACATTGTGGTTCAAGTCCCAGACTGAATGGCTTAAAAATCACGCTCCGGGGACCAGCAGTTAGCGTAATGGCTATGTCTCTGGACTCCCACGAAGTCGACTGCGGTTCGAGTCCCGGACCCGGCAGCTTAAACTCACGCCGGGTGCGTGTGCATGCGTGCCCAGCACCTCAATAGGAGAAGGAAGCAGGGACCGTGGCATGGACATCGCCCTGCAGGCGAGGGGGGTGCTCACTCTCTCTCTCTCTCTCTCTCCCTCCCCTACCTCAGCGAGTACACACACCCTTAGAGCAAACTTCAAAATATTTTTAAAATTTTAACATTTTTCCTTTTAGACAAGTTAGAGAACGTAAAATTTTAGAGAATTAACATCCCATGGCCCTTCCACCCAGAGACAACCACTGTCTTCACTGTAGACAGTATTTCTTTGTAGTCATTTTTCTTTTTTTTAAACCTGACTTTTTTGTTTTTATTTTTTATTTTTTAATAGTTATTTAATTTTATTTATTCATTCATTTATTTCTACATGAAATCTGTTGTATAAGAACTATCGAAAGACTCATGGAATTATTCATATAAAGTCTTTGGCAGTCTGAAACACAGTCAACACTTCCAAAATTATAGTTAATATTAGGATTCTTATTCTCTGTTTTTTTGTTTTTGTTTTTGGTTTTGTTTTTGTTTTTGTTTTGTTTTGTTTTTTTGCTATAGGGCGCGTGTGCTCGCCAGCCAGACAGAGACAGAGACAGAAAGCGAGAAATCACCCCCCAGGGGGGATGGCCACACCACAATCCCTTCTCCTCCATTCTCCTCTCGGGATCTTGGGCACGCACGCACACGCACCCGGCGTGAGTTTTAAGCCACCGGGTCCGGGACGCGAACTACGGTCAACTACATGGGAATCCAGTGACATAGCCACTACGCCAACTGCTGGTCCCTCACCTCCACGGTTTTTCAAGGCCACTCCTGGGGGTCTCCGGGGCATGCCAAGGGCAGACCGGGATGAGCCCAGCACAGAAGGGAGGAAGTCCACCCATCCTGGGCTCGAGCCAGTAACTGCAAAACCTGGCAAGGAGCAGGTGCAGCCATCGCTCCATCAGCTGGCTGTCTCCCATCCCTTTAACCTGCTCGCCTTCTTCGGCTCACGGCCCTGGCGGGTGACGGAGGAGGCGGGGTGTCCTGGACCACGCCCGAAGACCGCCGCCTGTCACGTCGGAGCCCAGGGGATGCGCGTGGGACTTACCCGCAGTCACGGTCTTGCGGAACAGGATGGGGTTGGCCACCAGGACGAGCAGGAGCGGCAGGTAGGTGGTGACGTAGTGGGGGATGGCGTGGTCTAGGCCTCGCTCGCACCTGCAGGCGGGAAGCCGCCATTCGCCTCCACAGCCAGCTGCGGGCCAGAACAGGCCCCACTGCACTGGACGCCAGGAGGAGGAGGGGGAAAGGGAAAACACGCAACCCTACTGCGAACTACGTTTCCCGCCTGAGAACACGCAGCACGCTTCAGGAGAGGACGGGAGCTCGCCCATGTGTGTCCTGGAAACTGCCGGACCTTAGGCATCCCTCTTAGGGGAGCTGCTGAGAAAAAGAAAGAAAGGAGAAAAAAAAAAAACATTCCAGGATGCTAAATTTCTTGTACTGGGTCTCTCTCTCTCTTTTTTTTTTTTGCTATAGGGTGCGTGCGCTCGCCAGACAGACAGAGAGAGACAGAGAGACAGAAAGTGAGAAATCACCCCCCTGGGGGGATGGCCACGCTGCAATCCCTTCTCCTCCATTCTCCTCTCGGGATCTTGGGCACGCACACACACGCGCCCGGCGTGAGTTTTAAGCCACCAGGTCCGGGACGCGAACCGCGGTCGACTACGTGGGAGTCCAGCGACATAGCCATTACGCTAACTGTACTGGGTCTCTTTAAGGAAAAAAAAATCACATTGAAAAAGAAGCAAAAGCACTCAATTAACCCGTCAGGTCTGAGGCCCTGGCTCCGCGCCACTCCTTAGCCTGGACATGAATAAGATCCAGTCCCTCTCCTGGGGCCACTGGAAATCCCAAGCTTCGAATTTCAAAGGGCTGTGCTCCCTGGTAGAGATAACCACTATCCAGTGCTTCTGCCCAGGGCGACGGACGAGGATTCTGCAGCAGGTCACGGGAATCATTAGTCACCACAGTACGAGGCGAGACCCACACACGGAAGTCAGCAAAGTGCTGTCCGCTAAGAAACGCACTACAGAGGGAAAGAAAAATGGCGTAGAGAAGAGAGGCTGGAAGGCAAAGGAGAGACGGGGTTGCTCTGGCCAAGGGGGAGTCAGAAAAGCTGGGGACCAGCAAGTGACAATAATACTGTTCCAGTCCCAGACCCAGCAGCTTAAAACACCTACATGTGCATGCGTGCCCAAGACCCCAAGAGGAGAATGGAGGAGAAGGGATTGTGGCGTGGCCATTCCCCCAGGCAGGAGTGGGGTGGGGGTGATTTCTTGCTTTCTATTTGTCTCTGTCTCTCCAGTAAGTGCATGCATATTATAGCAAAAAAAAACAAAAACAAAAAAAGCTGACAATGGAACATGTAGCCACCGAACACTGAATGATAAAAATGAAAACACTCTTGCGGTTGGCAGGTGGCGTGGCGGTTAAGGGTACTGGGCTCCAACATGGTCAATGGCGGTTCGAGTCCCAGACCTGGCGGCTTGCTTTCTCCCTTTCCCTCTCTTCTTTCTCACTCTGTCCCTCTTTGGTCAAATTAAAATAAATAAATAAAGTTGCATAAAATAATTATTTTTAAAAAATGAAAACACTTCGTATTCAGCGAGTGGCCAAGCCCAAAAGGGGGAAGTGGCAGAAAATGCAAAAACGTTAGGTAGGGAAACGCAATGCCCATCTCCTCTTGGCATGTGCAGGATTTCTATAACATTTTATTACTAGAACATCTTTTCTTTTTTTTCTTTTTTTTGGAGAGGTTTTTGCTACAAGGTGCATGCGCTTGTCAGAAAGACAGAGAGAGACAGAGAGCGAGAAATCACCCCCCAGGGAGGATGGCCACACCGCAATCCCTTCTCCGTTCTCCTCTCGGGATCTTGGGCACGCACGCACACACGCCCGGCATGAGTTTAAGCCACCGGGTCCGGGATGCGAACCGCGGTCATCTACATGGGAGTCCAGCGACATAGCCATTACGCTAACTGCTGGTTCCTTGTTGGCTGTTCTTCACAGGGAGGGGTGGCTCGGTCTGTACCATCGCTCACAGGGAGGGGTGGCTCGGTCTGTACCATCGCTCACACTGAAAGGGTGAGTCTTAGACTGTGCCATTGTTCACAGGTGTGCCCTTGGTCTGTACCATGGCTCACAAGGAGGGGTGTCCTCGGTCTGTACCATCACTCACAAGAAGAGGTGAGCTTAAGTCTGTGTCCTCGCTCACAAAGGGGGATGGGCTTGGTCTATACCATTCCTCACATCGAGGGGTGGCCCAGGTCTGTACCATTCCTCACAAGGACGGGTGGGATCAGTCTGTACCATTCCTCACATGGAGGGGTGCCTGGGTCTGTACCATTGCTCACATGGAGGGGTGTCTGGGTCTGTACCACTGCTCACAAGGATGGGTGGGCTTGGTCTGTACCATTCCTCACATCGAGGGGTGGCCCAGGTCTGTACCATTCCTCACAAGGACGGGTGGGATCGGTCTGTACCATTCCTCACATGGAGGGGTGCCTGGGTCTATACCATTCCTCACATGGAGGGGTGCCTGGGTCTGTACCACTGCTCACAAGGAGGGTGGGCTCAATCTGTACTACTGTTCACATGGAGGGGTGGCCTTGATCTGTATCATTGCTCACAAGGAGGGATGAGCTTAAGTCTTTGCCATCACTCACACAGAGGGGTGACCTCAGTCTGTACCATTCCACACAAGGAGGGTGGCCTCGGACTGTACCACTACTCACAAGAGAGGGTGGGTTTGGCCTGTGCCATTTCCCACTTAGAGGGGTGGCCTTGGTCTGTACCATTCCCCACAAGGAGGGTGGAATCAGTCTGTACCATTGCTCATAAGGAGAAGTGGCCTTGGTCTGTACCATTCCACACATGAAGGGGTAGCCTGTCTGTCTAATTCCGCACAAGGAGTGGGGGACTCAGTTTGTACCACTGCTCAGACAGAGGGGTGACCTCAGTCTGTATCATTGGTGACATGGAGAGATGCGCCTCAGTCTCTGCCATTGCTCATAAGAAGGTGTGACCTCGGTCTGTACCACTGATCACAAGGAGGGGTGTGTTTGGTCTGTGCCATTTCCCACATGGAGGCGTGGCCTTGGTCTGTACCACTGCTCACATGGAGAGGTGGCCTTGGTCTGTACCATTGCTCAGACAGAGGGGTGGCCTTAGTCTGTACCCTTGCTCAAATGGACAGGATTAGCCTCAGTCTGTGCCATTGCTCACACAGACTTAACCTCGGTCTGTACCACTGATTACATGGAGGGGTGAGTCTTAGTCTGTACCACAGCTCACACAGAGGGGTAACCTCAGTTTGTGCCATTTCCCACATGGAGGGGTGGCCTTGGTCTGTACCATTGCTCACACGAAGGGGTGGCCTTGGTCTGAACCATTGCTCACATGGAGAGGTGGCCTTGGTCTGTACCACTGCTTACAAGGAGGGGTAACCTCTGTACCCTTGGTCACATGGAGGGGTGCCTCAGTCTGTACCACTCCTCATAAGGACGGGTGGGCTTGGTCTATACCATTCCTCACATGGAGGGGTGGCCTTGGTCTGTACCATTGCTCAGACAGAAGGGTGGCCTTAGTCTGTACCCTGGGTCACATGGACTGGTGAGCCTCAGTCTGTGCCATTGCTCACAAGGAGGGTGGCCTCATTTGTACCACTGCTTACATGGAGGGGTAACTTCTATACCATTGGTCACATGGAGGGGTGCCTTGGTCTGATCCATTCCTCACAAGGACGCGTGGGCTTGGTCTATACCATTCCTCACATGGAGGGGTGGCCTCAGTCTGTACCATTGCTCATACGGGGGGGGGGGGGTCTCCTCAGACTGTACCATTCCTCACATGGAGGGGTTGCCTTGGTCTATACCATTCCTCACAAGGACGGGTGGGCTTGGTCTATACTATTCCTCACATGGAGGGGTGGCCTCGGTCTGTACCATTGCTCATACGGGGGGGGGGGGGTCTCCTCAGACTGTATCATTCCTCACACGGAGGGGTGGCCTTGGTCTGTACCACACCTCACAAGGATGGGTAGGATTGGTCTATACCATTCCTCACATGGAAGGGTGGCCTTGGTCTGTACCATGGCTCACACGGAGGGGTGGCCTCGGTCTGTACCATTAGCTCATACGGGGGGGGTTGGCCTCAGACTGTACCATTCCTCACAAGGATGGGTAGGATTGGTCTGTACCATTCCTCACAAAGACGGGATGGGCTCGGTCTGTACCACTGCTCACATGGAGAGGTGACCTCAGTTTGTACCCTTGGTCACATGGAGAGGTGGCCTCAGTCTGTACCATCGCTCACATGGGGAGAGGTGGCCTAAGACTGTACCATTCCTCACACGGAGGGATGGGCTTGGTCTATACCATGGCTCACATGGAGGGGTGGCCTCAGTCTGGACCATTGGCCCTCTGATCCATTCCTCACAAGGACGCGTGGGCTTGGTCTATACCATTCCTCACACGGAGGGGTGGCCTCAGTCTGTACCATTGCTCACATGGGGGGAGGTGGCCTCAGACTGTACCATTCCTCACACGGAGGGGTGGCCTCGGTCTGTACCATCGCTCACATGGGGGGAGGTGGCCTCGGTCTGTGCCATTCCTCACACGGAGGGGTGGCCTCGGTCTGTACCATCGCTCACATGGGGGGAGGTGGCCTCAGACTGTACCATTCTTCACACGGAGGGGTGGCCTCGGTCTGTACCATCGCTCACATGGGGGGAGGGGGCCTCAGACTGTACCATTCCTCACACGGAGGGGTGGGCTTGGTCTATACCATTCCTCACACGGAGGGGTGGCCTCAGTCTGTACCATCGCTCACATGGGGGGAGGTGGCCTCAGTCTGTACCATTCCTCGCACGGAGGGGTGGCCTCGGTCTGTACCACTGCTCACATGGAGGGGTGGCCTCAGTCTGTACCCTTGGTCACATGGAGAGGTGGCCTCAGTCTGTGCCATTGCTCACACGAAGGGGTGGCCTCAGTCTGTACCATCGATTACATGGAGGGGTGGCCTCAGTCTGTGCATTGCTCACAGGAAGACTTAAGCTCTGTCTGTGCCATGGATTACATGGAGGGGTGAGTCTCAGTCTGTACCATTGCTCACAAACAGGGGTGGCCTCGGTCTGTACCATTTCCAACAAGGACGAGTGACCTCAGTCTGTACCACTGCTCACATGGAGGGGTGGCCTCGGTCTGTACCACTGCTCACATGGAGGGGTGGCCTCGTCTGTACCACTGCTCACACGGAGGGGTTGGCCTGTCTTGCCAGGCGCCCTCACGGAAGGGTGACCTCAGTCGGTGCATACTTGCTGACTTGGAGAGACATGCGTGGATCTCTATATACATACTCCCGGGGGCTGCCCCTTGGCAGCTCACGTGCAGAGGGCATTAACTGAGCCTCCTGTACCATGTCCAACAGGGGGGGGTGGCCTCGGTCTTTACCACTGCTCACATGGAGGGGTGGCCTCGGTCTGTACCACTGCTCACACGGAGGGGTGGCCTCGGTTTGTACCACTGCTCACATGGAGGGGTGGCCTCGGTCTGTACCACTGCTCACATGGAGGGGTGGCCTCGTCTGTACCACTGCTCACACGGAGGGGTTGGCCTGTCTTGCCAGGTGCTCTCACGGAAGGGTGACCTCAGTCGGTGCATACTTGCTGACTTGGAGAGACATGCGTGGATCTCTATATACATACTCCCGGGGGCTGCCCCTTGGCAGCTCACGTGCAGAGGGCATTAACTGAGCCTCCACGTACATGCCTGTGTGCACAGGCTCCTCCCCACACAAATGAGTAACGCGGAAGCAGAGAAGGTGACCCCAGGGTCCAAGGTATGGAGAGTGCTGTGGGTCTCTCCGTAACCGTGGGTGACCTTCTGTACCCCTGGCATGATAGCCTGACCTCTGAGGCATGCCCTGGCATCAGGGCCCCTTCATTTCCCGGGCGAGAACACCCTACCAGCCCGAATGGCCCGCTGGCCGGCATCTGGCTTACCTGGACACGGAAGGGTAGTAGAGTGTGACAGCTCCCTCCACGCAGAGCAGGGCGGCCAGGCCCCAGGCCATGAGGTGGTAGAGGAGGACGGTGCTAGGAGAGAGGCAGGGCTCAGAGGCACGGCAGAACCGCCAGGGGACCGTGCAAGGTAGACCACCTCGCACCAGCTCGCCTGCACCAACCCTCTGCCAGAGCTTCCTGTGTCCTTGCCGAGGTCGTTCATAAAGTTCACATAACGAGGGGGGCCGCAGGTGGTGCAGTAGTTAAGGGCACTGGACTCCCACATGGACGACCACTGTTCGAGTCCCGGACTGGTGGCTTGCTTTCTCACTTTCTCTCTCACTCTGTCCCTTTCACTCTGTCTCTCTCTGGTCAAATTAAAATAGATAAATAATGGGGGGCATGAGGGGAACAGGAAAAAAAGATCTGTTTAATTGACAAAAAAATGAAGTTGTTTGCTCATGATAACATATAGGACAATGTTTTTTGCCTTGACTGATCACAGGCACTGTATTTGTGTTGGGGAAAAAACTTCTTTTCACACTGTAAAGATGTATGGTGATTAAATGTAAATAACAAATAAAATTAAAATTAAAAAAGAACTCCTCCCCCAAAAAAGAAAAAAAAATAAACAAAAATGAAAGGTAATAAAAGGATAACAAGGAAAAACATCCTGTATTCACTAAAATAAATAAGTAATAAAGATGAATAAAATCATTATTTTTAGAAAATTCACCTAATCAAACTAATTTTTGAATATTTTGAAAAGATGAATAAAATCATTATTTTTCAAAAATTCACCTAACCAAACTAATTTTTGAATATTTTTAAAACTTTTTAAAGAATTATTTTATTTATTTGTTATTATTTTTTAATTTGCCACAGGGCAAAAAAGGCAGAGAAAGAATGGGAAAGTGAGAGAGCAAGCCACCAGGTCCAGGACTCGAACCATGGTCGGCCATGTGGGAGCCTCTCGCACCTTAACCACCACGCCACCTGCTGGCCCCCATGGTGATTTTTCTTTTCTTTTCTTTTTTTTAAATAATTATTTTATTTTATTTTACGTATTTTAATTTAATCAAATTTAATTTAATTTGAGAGGGAGGGCAAATGAGAAAGAAGCCGCCAGGTCCAGGACTCGAACCGCAGTCAGCCATATGTGAGTCCAGCACCCTTAACCACCATACCACCTGCCACCCCCAGGGTAGGGGGTGATTTTTCACTCTCTCTCTCTGTCTCTCTGATGAGTGCATGTACCCTCTAGCAAAATTAAAACAAGGACAGCAAACGGAATCAGGGAGAAAAAGATTCAGGAAGAAGCAGGGGAGGGGAGCTGTGGAAGCATCTGGCCAGTGGCTTTGATCCCTAGGGTCTTAGGAGATGGGAAGGAACCATTCCTGGTTTTACCTGGCTCCTCCTGACTGCCCAAACCTCTGATATGCGGGTGACTCCAGATGCACCTGGAGCCAACGTGACCTGAAGGTGTACTTCCTGGCAGAAAGACATGATGGCCCAGGGACCAGCAATTGGCGTAATGGCTATGTCGCTGGACTCCCATGTAGTCACCTGTGGTTCAAGTCCCGGACCTGGAGCTTAAACTCACACCGGGCGCGTGTACACTCATGCTGGGTGCGTGTGCTTGCGTGTCCAAGATCCCGAGAGGAGAATGGGGGAGAATGGATTGCGGCATGGACATCCCCCCGGGGGGTGATTTCTCGCTTTCTGTCTGTCTCTCTCTGTCGAGCGCATGTCCCCTATAGCAAAAACCTCTCCAAAAAGAAAAGGAAAGACAGACATGATGGCCTGGTGCTCCTTCCGCACAAGTGTAGGCCCTCACATCCCCCAAGGAGACCCACGGCCTCCTGGGGCCAGCTTACCCGATCAGCAAGGACCTCCTGCCCTGTGCCTCACGGGTCAGAGTGCTCAGCCCAAACTGGGAAGGGTGTCTCTGGAAAAGCCGGAGGGTGGGACACGTCCCACGAGAGCAGGGGGCTATCCCTTCTGGCCAGCCCCTCGTCCACTCCCTGCGTAGTTCGCATTCTTGGCCATCTCTGCCGCTCATCATCGCACACGCCCGCCTTTTCCCCCAGAGGAGCAGGGCTGCAGGCAGGGCAGGCCTTCCGGACGCGCTCCAGAAGGCTCACACCCACACAGAGCGTGCCTGTCCCGCCCTGCGCTGTCTGCCCCTCCTGTCTGATGGGACCCGGGGGGCCTAGGGCTCCCTCGGATGCCCCCGCCCACCAGGGCATGCTTGGGGAGAAGAATCATGAAGCCGGGGTAGGGAACCCGCTCCAACATGCTTGGCCTCCCACGTGGGATCTGGCTCCTGTGTGGCCCTTCCTGGCCTCACTGGGTCTGGGAGCAGGTGTGAGGGCGCGTCTCAGAGATGCAGGGCCCAGAGACTTCATGGGGTGGTCAGAGTGCAGCATCACTCTGCTCCAGGGCCTCGCCTTGGGCTGGGCAGTGCTGGTGGCATCTGCTGGTGGGATCGCCCAGGGCACAAGGAGCTCCTCGGAGCCGGGTGGACCTTCTCTGCTGCCGACATGGACACGTAGCGTGGGAGCCAGCTCTGGACAGCCACATCCACGTAAAACGCGACGCCCTAGGGCCAGCCCGTGGCCTGGTGGTTAAGGCAGCTGGGTTCCACATAGCCAATGGGGCAGAGTCCTGGCCCCGCAGGCTTGAAAAACACAACAGACAAATCCTGACAGGATGGAGACATGGCGGAGAAGGGACTGCAGCATGACCACACCCCACTGGCAGGTGCTTTCCCCCCCTCCCTCTCTGTCTCTCTGTCTCTCTCTCTGGTAAGCATATGCACCCTCTGGCAAGATTTTAAAAATAAATGAATAGGGGCCGGAAGGTGGCAGGATGGTGAAGGGCACTGGATTCCCACATGGCTGACCGTAGTTTGAGTCCTAGGTCTGGCGGCTTTCTCTCTCTCTCTCTCTCTCTCTCTCTCTCTGTCCCTGTCTGGTCAGATTTAAAAAAAAAATAAAGTCAAATCAAATAATTTACAAATAAATAAAATGAATAAAGGGACCAGTAGATAGCATCATGAATAAGTCGCTGGACTCTCACATCGTCAACTGTGGTTCGAGTCCCAGACCCAGTGCCTTGAAACTCACGCCAGACACATGTGAGTGCGTGCCCAGGATCCCAAGAGGAGAATGGAGGAAAAGGGATCGCAATGTGGACATCAACCCTGGGAAGTAATTTCTCGCTTTCTGTCTGTCTCTCTGGCAAGCGCATGTGCCCTATAGCAAAAATCTCTCTGAAGAAATAAATAAAAATAAAATGTGATGCTCTGCAAACCTCATGCACATGGGATGGTCCTAGGGTCACATCCAGAGACCTCCCTGAATATGCCAGGCACCCATGCGCCCATGAACCTGATTGGCAGGGTCAGATCACAGCATTAAGACCCTATTGATGGGACCAGCAGTTAGCGTAATGGCTATGTCACTGAACTCGCATGTAGCCGACCGCGGTTCGAGTCCCGGACCCGGTGGCTTAAACTCGCACCGGGCACATGGGTGTGCGTGCCCGAGATCCCGAGAGGAGAATGGAGGAGAAGGGATTGTGGCATGGCCATCCCCCTTGGCGGGGGGGGGGGTGATTTCTCACTTTCTATCTCTCTGTCTCTCTCTGTTTTTCTGGCGAGTGCACACATCCTATAGCCAAAAAAAAAAAAAAAGACCCTATCGAGGTGGCTTTCTTGTGCTGTTTCTCTTCCTTACGGAATAAATAAATTGCTACACTCAAAAAAAAAAAAAAAAAAAAGGTGTAGTGGTTAAGGAGGCTGAATCCCATGTGGTCGATGGCATGGTTCGAGTCCCAGCCCTGGCAGCTTGAGAAACAGGCCCGGTGCGTGTGCCTACATGCCCAAATCCTGGAAGAAGGGAGACAGGGAGACATGGAGGGGAAGGGATTGCAGTGTGGCCATGCCCCGTGAGGAGGTGATTTCTTGCTTTTCTTCTCTCTCTCTCTCTCTTTAGCTCTCTCTCTCTGGTGAGCACATTCGCCCTCTGGCTAAATAATTTAAAAAGTAAGTAAATAAATAAATAAAAGTAACAGATGCATCTGAAACTCACACTAGGCAGAGTCCTCAACTTGGCTGCTGCTCAGGAACAGCAGGCACCAGAGGAAGAACATCATCTGACCACCGTCTGCTGGGCAGTTCGCACGTCCGGGCCACGGAGGTCCTCCCCACACCATCTTTTCTCTCCCATGTTCGTTTTCTTTTCTTTCTTTTTCTTTTCTTTTATTTATTTATTTATTTTTGGAGAGGTTTTTGCTATAGGGCACGTGTGCTCGTCAGACAGAGAGAGACATAGAGACAGAAAGTGAGAAATCCCCCCCCAGGGGGGATGGCCATGCCACAATCCCTTCTCCTCCATTCTCCTCTCCGGATCTTGGGCACGCACGCACACACCCCGGCGTGAGTTTAAGCCACCAGGTCCAGGACTTGAGCCATGGTTGACTACATGGGAGTCCAGAGACATAGCCATGACACTAACTGCTGGTCCCCCATGTTCAATTTTCTTAGAGCAACTAGTGGCTTCAATTCTAGGCATTTTCCAGGACCTCAGGCATCCACTCTTTTAATTTAAAACCTATATATCCTGACTTTTGGAACCAGAGTAGCAGTTTAATTTTTTTTTTTTTTAAGAGAGAGATTTTTGCTACAGGATGTGTGTGCTCACTGGAGAGACAGAGAGAAAGCAAGAAATCATCCCCCGGTGGGGACGGCCATGATGCAATCCCTTCTCCTCTAGGGAATTTGGGCGCACATGCACACGGTCCCAGCATGAGTTATAAGCCACCAGGTCTGCTGAGTGAAGCAAGCCATGCTATGAAGGAGAGGCATTGTATGTCCCCACTTAATATATACCAAGTGTCTGCACTCTTTAAAAAAAAAAAAAGAAACATATATATGTATATATATTTGAAACCATACTGCTTCTGTTGTTATAGAGTTATAAATTTATACAAAATTATAAGACATATTTTGAACATTATCTTAAAATTCAGTATTTTGAAATTTTGAAAGTTGTTTGTAAACTGTCAAGAATTATGGAGTATGAGCTAAAATTTTTTGCAATGTACAGTAAATGTTTGTGGAAAAATGTAAAAATAAATAAATGAAAGAAAAAAAATTTTTTTTAATAAGCCACCAGGTCCAGGACTCGAACTGCCGTTGGTCAAGTGGGAGTCCAGCGTTGTAACCATTACACCATTTGCTGGCCCCAGAGGTTACATGTTAATGTGAAATCTGTCCGGATGACATTTCTTAGGGTTAAGATGAAATGAAAAAAATACTCCCATGCCAAAGAAAGCAGTTAAACACTGAGAGGCCCTGGGAAGCACTGTGGCATGTAACCCAGCCTACCTGCAGAGCCTGGCGGCCTGCCCCAGAGCTCAGCAGGATGCCCCATGGCCCCTGCAGGCTCCATTTGCTTAATTCCTCCTGCAGAACCAACGCCACACACAGCTCTGGAAATAGGGCTGGCTCCTCTAAGAGGGGGTGCAGGGACATTTGCACCCATACCCCTAACTCTGTCTCAAGTCACTCAGCAGTGCCCCCAGAGACCCCCAGACTCCGGGAGGTGGAACTGCACCAGGTACGAGGTGCGGGCTTGGACTTGCGGCCATGAGCTCCCCCTAGTGCTTTCTTCTGTTTGAGGGGCGCCTCGCGGGAGTCCTAGTACTGGAAACCTGCCCTTGCCCTTTGGAGGTGACCGGATGGCTCATGCCCTTGGAAGTGCACCATCTGCCTGACAGTGGGTCTTTATAAATCACACTGCCAGCATGCTCAGGACGATGGCGCCCCAGCATCACGCCTATCCAAACACTGGGCCCCACCAGGAATTCTCCCAGGTGTCAGGAGGGTTTGGTTTTGTTTTGTTTTTGGAGAGGTTTTTGCTATAGAGTGAGTGCACTCGCGAGAGAGACAGAGAGACAGAAAGTGAGAAATCACCTCTGGGGAGGATGGCCACACCACAATCCCTTCTCCTCTCAGGATCTTGGGCACGCACCCAGCATGAGTTTAAGCCACCAGGTCTAGGACTCGAACCGTGGTCAGCTACATGGGAGTCCAGCAACATAGCCATTACGCTAACTGCTGGTCCCCAGGAAGGGATTTTTAAGGCTTATCCTGGCTTCTCAGGGCTCTGCCTATGCTCACGATCCAGACTGTCCTCAGACTGCCCCGTGGGATGGAAGAGCACCTTCTCCTATGGGGGCCTCAATATTGTGAATCTCTGTGTGGCCTGTCACTAAAAGTCTTCGATGTTCCCGATAGAGGACTGAGAGGTCTGCCATCTTGCAGACCTCTTGCAGGGAGGTTCCGGAATAGTTCCAGAACCTCCCTGAGCAGGCAGGGTGCCCATGCCTATGACCCAGGCTGGCGGAGACTAGGGGTGGATTGCAGAGTGAAGGGCCTGCTGGAACTCTCTCTCACACAGAAGAAATGAATAAACTTTTAAAAAAAAAAAGTGTTTAAAAAAAAAAAAAATAGAGGGGCCAGCAGTTAGCATAATGGCTATGTCGCTGGACTCCCATGTAGTCGACCACTGTTCGAGTCCCAGACCTGGTGGCTTAAACTCACGCCGGGCACGTGTGTGTGCATGCTCAAGATCCGGAGAGGACAATGGAGGAGAAGGGATTGCGGCATGGCCACCCGCTCTGGGGGGTGATTTCTCGCTTTCTATAGGGTGCACGCACCCTATAGCAAAACCCTCTCAAAAAAAAAAAAAAAAAAAAAAAAAAAAAAAAAAATAGAAGCAAGGCAGAAAGGCCGGCTCATCTCATCTCCCGGTGGTACCTGAGTCCCGCTGATCTCCGGATCACCAGGTAGGCGTCCACCGCGTAGCAGAAGAGCCACCAGAAGCAGGCGCTGTACAGCAGCTGGATCCACATCTGCAGTGGGAGAGCCAGGCATCAGAGCCCGCGGAAGGCATGAGGCCCCGCCCACCCTGCGAGGGGCCTCTGACGTCAGGCAGCGGCACTTCAAAGAGCTCGGGACACATGTGGCCGCTGCCTCTGCAGCCCTCGGGGAGGCGGGGAGGGAGGGCTGTGCAGTGGGCCTGCCCAGCTGGGTCCCAGGAGCAGTTCCCCTCAGGTCCCTTTGCAGGCAGGGCGGACCACGGCGTAGGATGCAATGCGTGTGAGCTGGCGGGAGGGCGCAGGGGGCTTTGAAGTCGGCGCGCTCTTTCTGAGAACAAAGGAGGAGCAGGGCAGGAAAGACTAGAGAGCCCTTTCAAGTGGCAGGGGAAGGAAGGAGGCTGGGCAGTTGGAACAGCACAGGATCAACAGGCCTCGCCAGTGAGACAGATGCTGGGGCAGGACACCCTGAGAGGAGCCACGGAGGGGAGGGGACGAGGGGAGCGGGCAGCTCTGAACCAGGGACTCGCTGCAGATCACTGCCCTGCAAATGCCTCCCTTGAGCATCGGGCAGGTCCTGCAGGGCCTGTTCCAGCAGAGGCGGGTCAAGCTCTGACCCGGGGCTGGGCCAGGCCTGAGAAGCGGCATTTCTGAAGATGCCCCAGGCTCCTGCTGCCTCGTTTTGACAACAGGGCAACAGGATCCCAGGTAGGAGCAGACGGCCAACTCACCGCACTGCCCACGCAGAAAGCAGCAGGCCAGATGTCTGTGCTATTCACCTTGGAGATGTTTGCAACGAAATCCGGGAACGCTAACCATACCGTGGAGCGGGTCACGATACCTAAGGGCAGATCACAGGACACAAGGCTGTGGCCTCCGGATCCAAATCAGGATTGCAGGTCTCAAGCGGAACTCTGGTTTTGTAAAGATGGCTGATAGGGGCCTGCAGGTGGCCAGGTGGCTAGGACACTGGACTTCCCTAGGGTCGATCGCTGTTTGAGTCCCAGACCTGGCAGCTTGCTTTCTCACTTTCTCTCTCTGGTCAAGTTAAAAAATAATTATTACAGGGGCCGGCAGGTGGCATGGTGGTTAAGGGCGCTGGACTCCCACATGGCCGACTACAGTTCCAGTTCCAGATTTGGCGGCTTGCTTTCCCACTTTCTTTCTCTGTCTCTCTGTCCCTCTTTGGTCAAATTAAAAATAAATAAATAAATTTCCAAGCCAGCAGGTGGCGTGGTGGTTAAGGCACTGGACTCCTCATGGTCAACAACAGTTCAAGTCCCGGACCCGGCGGCTTGCTTTCTCACTTTCCCTCTCTCTCTCTCTCATGCTCTCTCTGCTCAAATTAAAATAAATAAGGTTCAATAAAATAATTATTAAAAATAAATTAATTAAATTAATAAATTTTAAAAATAAATAAAGTTCAATAAAGTAATTCTTTTTGCCGTCTGCTGGCTCCAGGAGGATGCACATGCTCACCAGAGACAGAGAGAGGTAGAGGAGAAAGGATCCCCCTTGAGGAGTGGTCACGCAACAATCCTTTCGCCCCTTTTCCATCCTTTCAGGATTTGGGGCACACACACACCCCCACTAGCATGTTTTCAAGTTGCCAGGAACAGGATTCAAACTTTGTGGTCGGCCATGTCAGATCTGCCTTCCTTAAACACCAGGCCACATAGCAGCTGCATAGTTTCTTCGTTCTTTACAAAAATGTATTTGGAACCAGCAGTTGGCATAGTGGCTATGTTTTGGGCTCCCACGTAGTCGACTGTGGTTCGTGTCCAGGACCCAGTGGCTTAAACTCATGCCGGGCACGTGTGCGTGTGTGCCCAAGATCCCCAGAGGAGAATGGAGGAGAAGGGATTGAGGTGTGGCCATCCCCCGGGGGTTATTTCTCACTTTCTGTCTCTTGCTGGCGAGCGCACGTGCCCTATAGCAAAAACCTCTCCAAAAAAAAAAGTATTTAAGATGTTCACACATTAGCTCTTTATAGTTTGCTTCCAAGTTACTATTTGTGAGTTTCCCTTCCTATCAGACCCAAACATATATTACTCCCCCAAAGCAGTAATACACTGGGCCAGCCAGTGGCGTGGCGTGGTAGGCAGCAGGATCCCACATGGCCAGCTGTGCAGTTCAAGTCCCAGATCTGGTGTCTTGCAAACTATGGCAGGTGCACAGTGTGAGTGCCCGGAATCCTGAGAGGGGGGAAAGATGGAGAAGGAACTGTGGTGTAGCCATCCCGCCACAGGGAGCTTTCTCTTTCACTTTTTTTTTTTTTTTTTTTGAGAGGAATTTTTGCTATAGGGCACATGCACTTGCTAGAGAGACAGAAAGTGAGAAATCGCCCCCCAGGGAGATGACCGTGCCGAAATCTCTTCTTCTCCATTCTCTTCTTGGAATCCAGGGCATGCACGCACATGTACCCGGCGTGAGTTTCACACCGCCGGATCTGGGACTTGAACAGCGGTTGGCTACATGGGAGTCCAGTGACGTAACCATTATGCCATCTGCTGGTCTCTTTCTCTCTGGCAATTGTGTCCTATAGCATACTACAAAACAAAACGATTCTCCCCCACATGGCCAACTTTACAGATCGAGTCTTGAAAAATCATGCTGGGTGTGTGTGCGTGCGTAGGTGCCCAAAATCCCAAGAGGAGACTGGAGAAGAAATCGCAGCATGGCCAACCTCCCTGAAGGATGATTTCTCACCCCCGCGCCCACCCCAGTCTGTCTGGCAAGTGCAAGTGCCCTAGAGCAAAAACTAAAAACAGGACCAGCAGTCAGAGTCATGGCTATGTCGCTGGACTCCCATGTAGTCGACTGTGGATCAAGTCCCAGACCCGGTGGCTTAAACTCACGCCAGGTGCGTGTGCGTGCATGCCCAAGATCCCGAGAGGAGAATGGAGGAGAAGGGATTGCAGCATGGCGATCACCCCCTGGGGGGTAATGTTTCGCTTTCAATCTCTCTGTCTCTTTCTGGCGAGTGCACTCTCCCTATAGCAAAAACCTGTCCAAAAAAAATTTAAAAAAGAAAAAAAACTAATGACAAGGACAAAAGCTTTTCCAAACAATGTAGCAAAATCAGGAAGAAAATCCATTTTGGTTGTGTTTTTTGTTTTCTGAGAGATTTTTGCTATAGGGCTTGTGTGCTCAGAGACAGAAAGTAAGAAATCACCCCCTCGGGGGGGATGACCATGCTGCAACCTCTCCTCCATTCTCCTCTCCGGAATTTGGACAGGCATGCATGCACATGTGCCCGGTGTGGGTTTCAAGCCTCCAGGTCCAGGACTCAAACTGCAGTCAGCTACAGAGGAGTTCAGTGACATAACCATTATGCCATCCGCTGGTCCCAAAAAAAAACAAGTTTTGATTGCATTATCCTAAACTGATTTTATCTCTAATGCAAAGGAAACGCCACTCCCGTCTTAAGGCGAGAACATGACTTGAAGCGCACAGCATGGCTTTGAAGCAAGGTGCTTGAGTGTCTGCAATCATGTTTTTGTCATTCTGGGTGTGGGGACAGAACAGCACTGGGCCCTGAGACACCCAACCATCAGTGCCCACAAACCCGGCCCAGTGAGCGGCTTTCGCTGCAAGGACAAAGTAGGGAAAAATACGATTCCAAAACGGTGAGCCCCTATCAGGCAGCCGCGAAGTGCAGACAGCATCTGGATACTGATTTGCACAAAGCAGCCGTAAACGACCATTTATGACACACCTGAACACATGCTACTCACTGGTTTCAATGAGTAATGAGGTCATGGTGGGGTTAAAGAGGTCATGGTGGGGCTGGCAGGTGGCATGGTGATTAAAGGCGCTGGACTCCCACATGGCCGACCACGGTTCGAGTCCTGGACCTGGCCACTTGCTTTCTCACTTTCTTTCTCCCTCTCTAGTTAAATTAAAATAAATAAGTAAAGATAAATAAAATAATTCTTTAAAAAAATAAATAAAAGAGGTAATGGCACTGAGGTTCATTTCCATTAACCCAGTGAGGAGGGTCAAGACCGGGTGTAGGAAAAACTGGGTGAGGGGTATGGGGGGGTTAGTTATACTAGTTTATCGCTTATATATTAGATACTGCTTTTTAAAAGAATTATTTAATTTTATTTATGCATTCATTTAATTAGTTTATTCATTTTCATTTGACCAGAAAGACAGAGAGAGAGAGAGAGAGAGGGAAAGTGAGAAAGCAAGCCACCAGGTCCGAGACTCGAACTGTGGTCAGCCATGTGGGAGTCCAATGCCCTTATCCACCACGCCACCTACCGGCCCCTAGTTACTGCTTTTATGAGTGCTGGAAATCTTCCAACATAAATACTTAGAGCCGAGGGCCAGCAGGTGGTGTGGTGAAGGCGCTGGACTCACACATGGTTAACCATGGTTCGAGTCCCGGACCTGGCAGCTTGCTTTCTCACTTTCTCCATCTCTCTCTCTCTTTTTCTCTCTCTCTGGTGAGCACACAAGCCCTTTAGCAAAATTTTAAAAATAATAATAATAATAATTTAAGGAGAAAAAGGTTATAGCCAGCCAGGTGGCATGGAGGTTAAGGTGGCTGGATGCCACACAAACAACTACATGGTTCAAGTCCCAGGACCAGTGGCTTGAAAAACACGCTGGGCATGTGTGCGTCCCCGAAATCCCAAGAAGAGAATGCAGAAGGGATTATGGGATGGCCATGCCCATGGAGGAAGTGATTTTTCCTCCCCACACCCTGTCTTGTCTCTCTCCAGGGAGCGCACGTGCCCGATGGCAGCAAGGGGAAAAAAGAGTTGAACCAGCCAAATCTGCCTTAGAGGGCTGTACCAAGTGCTGTT